AATAAAAGAGTTAGTCTTGACATTTACACCATCATCTTTATGTTTTAGAATGTAAAGCAATGAGATAAAGAGGTTATTTCAGGAACACAAGCTAGATTTCTTTTAGGTTTTTTTTTATAATGCTGATTGCATAGGATTTTTGGTAAATTATGTGACGGAACTGCTCTCTGCTGATACGCTAACTCTCACCTTCACAACATGACCTGTGGCCACTTGAACATTTTAAAGAGTTTAAATGTATCTTATTTAATTGCCTTTTTGCTTCCCAGAGAAGATGGAGAACTCTTGAAATGAGTGAAGCTAGTAACTGAGTCTGATCTAGGAGGCAGTTGTGGGAAATGCAGGAATCAGGAGAAAGAGTTGGACCTAGACACATGCAACACAGTGTCTTTCTGGGACCTTCTACTTCCAGGGGAACCTGTGCAGGCCTGGCACTGGAAATGGCAGGTGTTTCTCTGTTCACAGTCAGGATGAGATGAAGAAGCCAGTTGAAAGGGCAGGTGGAGCGGTGGTGCTTGCTGCTATCAGTCACATGCCAGAATGGGCTAAATCAGGGGTACTTAACCCCTGGCCTGTGGGCCAGATCTGGCCCCTGACACTGTTTTCTGCCCCATGGGAATCCGGTGGTGAACCTGCAGGCCATGGCCCTGCATGCTAGATCAGGCATGATCCCAGCATGTGGGGGTGGCATGCAGCCCAACCCTGGCTGGGTGAGGTGGAGTCCTGTGCTGCCACTGCCTGGTGAGGATCAGGTCCTTGGGTCATGTGCTGCCTCCACCCAGCCCCACATGCCAGAATCAGGCTCTGGGCACCCCAAACTGTCCCTGTCTAGCCAGGATCAGGCTCAAGGGGCTTGTGCTCTCTCCCTGCCCCGCCAGGATTGGGCTCTGGCTTGGTGGAGGCAGCATGGTGCCCCAGGGCCTGATCCTACTGCAGGGGGGCAATGTGGGGCTTGATCTGGCCCACAGACCAGCCCTGTGCCATTCGTCTGGCCTGCAGGGTCAAATCCACGTGCAGCACTGGGCCATCTAAACTCAGACAAAAATCTCTGGCTGATTGTCCAGCTGGAGTTGTGCTTGTACACAACAGGGGTGAGATGCTGAAGACAGATAGCAGGGACAGCAGCAATACTAATCTGGCTGTTCACCCCCACTTAGTCGTTCCTTAGGACTAGACTTCTGTTTGGAGACAGCTCCTCATTTCAGCCACAAGAGTGAGCTCCTTCCCTCCCTTTCTCTGTGGACAGGCACAGCTGCCGGCAGATCTTAATCCTTGGCAGTGCTGCATTTTCTCTTACGTAGCTGTTTATCGTAGTCTTGAAATACAAGCCTCACTTATGAACGTGCAAAACCAAACAGTTACTTCCCACAGAGCATACATGAGTGGGGTTTGTCTCAGGTTGGCACTGGAGGGTGGGTAATACGTGCCTTTGCTGCTAAAGACAATGGAAGGTACTGAATCAGAGTGATGGCAGTTTCTGAAAATGGGTGTGGTGAGAGTGGAAGGGGGTTGGCCACAGGGTGAGAACACCGTTTCATTCACCACTACGCAGTGCATGTGTAGATGTACCTGTGGGTGTGTCACTAGGCAATGGCAGAGCTCCATTCCAGGGTACTCTTGAACCACTGCCTCCAGGGAGTGGGGACAGTACAGCACTTCCTCCCTTAAGCTCTCTTGGTTGCTCTTTTTGTTACTAAACGCTGTGGTTTATCTTACCTTGTCTGTACCCTGAGATGTTATGTGGTTTAAGTCACAGGCAATCTCATTCCTCAGAGGTATTTTCAGTCTAATTTAAATCAATAAAATATCACCAGAAGCATGTTACTTACACTGATGTGGCTTTAAAGTTACATCAGAGATTTCGCCCAACCTCTTGAGAACGCAGAAACAGCTTGATTCTACCAGGAAGAGGACCCAAGAGGCCCATAATGAAATGGGCTGTTACTGATCTAAACCAACTAATGTTTCCAGCTGCTCACAGAGGTCAGGGAAGTTGTAGAAGCAGGTAGGAAGTGACATTTGAGATGCTGTTGGACAGGTTTTTTTTCCTTCCACTGGTCTACGGAGAGAGCGTTTGGATCACGATTCATAAAATCATAGAAAAATAGGCCTGCAAGAAGTCTCCAAATCATTAAGACCAAATCCCCGCTCAAGGGAGGATCATCCCTGTCTACCACATCCCAGACAAATATTTCTCTAACTTGCGCTTAAAAACTTTTAATGACAGATTCCTCAGCCTCTCTAGGTAATCTTTTCCAATGCTCAACCAACCTGTTATCTAACCTAGATTTCTCTCATTTCAGTTTAAGCCCCTTGGTACTTGTCCTGACCCCTGTGAACACAGAGAACAATTTATGCCAGTCCTCCCTACAGAAACCTTTTTTGTATTTTAAGATGTGCAAAGAAGAGCAGGAGTGGCTTGAGAGGGTTTTATACTGTGTTAGGAGCGCAGGAAGCCAGGGGCCAAACTAAAACAAAAAAAGATAATAAAATCTGTCCACGCTTCACCCACTTGAGACACCAACATGTGACTGTTCACAGTAGGTTGTGTATGCTTTCTGCACTTGAGACTTTCAGTGGCGTTTGAACTTTTATTAGCGCTAAACATTTAAAGTGCACAAAATGAATGCATCATATGTTAACTAGATTAAGACAGACCAACTGCTAGATCTCAAAGTAACTGTAGATCAGGAATCATTTTTGCATGGGGTATTTCTTGCAATGTCCAGCAAAGATCTGTTCTTGCCCCTGAGCAATACTGTATCAGTGATCCAGAGCAATGGTGCTCAGCCCCTTGGTCCTGTGGGCCAGGTGAGTGGTGTTGATCCGGCAGGCAAGATTGCTCCATGAGCCAGATCCAGTGTAGTGTCAGCACGCAGAGTCAGTCTGTGCTGCAGCAATTAATGCTGAAACAGCTCCTCCCACAGCGAAAAAACAAAGCAAGTGGCAAGTCAGCCACTATTCACAAAAACTGCACAGCTTTTAAGGGGACATTGTAGTTGTAGACATTGAAAATGACACGTACCCAAGCAATGATGTGGAAAATTAAGAGAATCCAAGGATCCAGAAGAAGAGTTGGACGTGGTTAGAGCAGCAGGCAAATCTGAAGATCCTTGTAGCAGTGTTTTTGATAACTGGAGATGGGAGTACCCGAGTTTTCAGAGCAAACAATGCCAGAATCCCCTGTATTAATGCAGACACACCACCAGTGCTGAACCTATTTGATAGAAACGCTGAAATGAATTAATTGCAGCATGTGTAATGAATAACTTCTGATGATAAATCTGTGCATACAGATACCAACTGTGTTACCCTGGTGACAAACACTATACAGTTAAAAACAGTGTTTTGGTAGTTTTCTTAGAAATCTAACAATGATGTTGATGAGAGTGGTCCTTTGGGGTAACTAGCTGATATTCCTTATCTTTTCCCACTGCTTTACCATTGATCATTGAGGTAGTGGCAGGAAATAAGTGTTGGCTTGGAAAGGATCTCTCCTTGCATTCCATGGAGTTGCAGGGTACAGGGTTGTTGGAAAAGAATACCCCCTAAGTTTTTCATGGATTGTATTAAAAGAATAGCAGTAAGAGCAACTGAAGGCAGAGTAGAAGGAAATGGACTTGAAAGGGAGCGAAAGAGCTTGACACCCAAAAGTATTGTTAGTAGCCTGTACCCAGCTTGGCACCTCTTCTGCATCTATGTGTATTCCTTTCTAATGCCAGATGGGGATCACTGTCTCAGAAAGGTTCTAATATGTGTGCAAAGGACCTGTGCAGTTCACAAGTCAGGCCCAGCAAGCTAGGGCATCTAGAGCAAAAGCTTGATTGGGAGTGATCTTGGGAATTACATTTTGAGTGGGAGTATGGGGCTGTAATTTTTGTATGGGGAGGGGGAGTGTCTTTTGCACAAATTGTCCTTCCAAACAGTCTTGGATGCCACACTAAGTACCTTACAGACATGGGGCAAATTCTTTAAGGCACAGATTAACTGGATTGACAGTGCATTTTATGCACATTATGCTACTTGAGGAAAATTCAGCAGTGGGGTTGGAGGAGTTAATTGGGCTTGGATCTCATTTCCAGCTTGGCCTTTACAATCAAAATGCCATTTCTTCCTAAAATGTAGCTGTTTTCCAGAGACTCGCTTTGAATGAGTGTCCCTGAAAACAGATAATGGATAGTAAAATCCCAAGAGGCTGTAGCAGAAGTGTATTTAAATTGACAAAAAGCTGGATGAAGTAGAATGAAAATGGCCTACTGAATTCTCCAGGGGTTTTGGTGAGAGCTCTGGTTGCTTCTGGATGTTAATGAGCATGTAGCAGCAGCCACAGCTCAGACCACTGATAAGAGACCCAGCTCTCTGTGCCTAGCGCATGGCTGACAGTGCCAGGGCGCACACGGTAACTGGGGAGTCTGCTGCACTTCTAATACTTGCCCAGTCTTCTCTGCTGCCATGTAACCGGCACAGGAGCTGCCCCAGCATATTTCCTTAATTAGGCATTATTTCCCAGTTAGAAAAAGAAAGGGATGCAATTGAGTAGGATGCTGCCTTAGGACAGAACAGCAACAGAGACCCTGCCTACTTGCCAGATCTTTGCAAATTGTTTAAAAAACAGGGAAGGGAGGAGTCATTTCCATTTTCAGCGGTCTTTTCCAACTAATTACGTGTATTCATTTCTATTCCAGCAGTGCCAAAAGACCCTTATCAAAGATCAGGGCCCCATTATATTGGGCACTATCCAAATGAATAATAAAACATTCCCTCCTCTGGGAAAGGTTTCAGTTTTCCCAATAGATCGCCAGACACTGGGAAAGGTAGAAGTCAGTGCTCCTCTCATCTCATAACATACAGTTTGAAGGATGAGTTGGTAAGCAAATTGTGCAATTGAATATTTTATTGAACAAAGACATCTCCCTCTGGACAGACGGGCACAGAAGTTTGGACTTGATGGAAACCCACCCAGGATGCCTTTTGGGACAGGAGCAAGTTAGGAAAGTGCATGGCTGATCCTGACAAGAGAAAAGCAGCATGACCCAAGGGAAACTTGGGCTATGGTTGTTTTTACTCTCATTAAAATAAGAGCTGTTTCAAAACCCAGAGTTGGCAGTATAGCAAACAGGTGGCATTTGGACAATGACAGTACTAATGACCCTAGTTACCTGAGCACCAGACTTGAGACACCCAATGCCTGGTTTTTGAAAGGGTTACTCAGGTTGCAGCTGACACCCTTGGGAGCTGCAGAAGGAGCATGGCTTTGAGAATCAAAGGTCCCAAGTTACAATCCTGCTCCACCAGTGGCTCACTGTGTAGCCTGGGGCAAATCACTGCAGCTTCCTTTTCACCTTCCTCATCTGTCAGATGGGGATTACAGTATCCCTAGTTTCCCAGAGGTGTTGTTGCAAAGATTGGTGTCTGTACCTTGCTCTGAATGCGCAAAAACACTAATAAGTGCTCTGACAATCAAATCTTAGGTACCCCACATTGGGTGTTTTCACTGAGGCACAGGAATTTTGTGCAGGGTTTAGATGGGAGGCAATCCTCTATCCTCTCCCAGATTTGGGAGGCAGTCCCCTCAGTGAATAGGAAGGAAAAGTAGTCCTGTCCTGTTCACTGAATGGCATTCATCCTGCAAATGGAATAATGTAGGTGTTCTGTGGAGAAATAGTGTCAGCTGCATCATATGCACAAAGGGGAAGAAATAAAATCTTTGAAGCAACTTTGTATCTAATAATGAGTTTGCAACCAAAAAAGCCATTGTTTAAAATGTTGGGTTTTGTATCCTAGGTAAATAATGGCCCTGGGAAATTGGGCAAGGTCAGAGAGGAAGAACCTGTGATGCTTGTACACTGCTACAAGAAGCTTCAGCAATGAAATGGAGGATTAGAACTTCAGTTGTGACGTGGCAGTGATCCTAGGATGGTGAGGTATTTCCATTACAGCCTTCCCCATTGACCCAGGTACACAGAACATACGTTCATTTCTTTTAATTTTTCTGTCATTTGTTGCTGCTTCCATTTGCCTTGTGGTGCTGAGATTTACTGCTCTGCCCTCCTTGGTAAGGGCTGTTCTGAAAGTTTCCCAGGGAAGCCCTCCTTACTCACACCAGTTAGTTCATGTGGGAATCTTTGTGCTGGTATCTGGAAACAACGTGCCTCAGATGTCTAATGGTTCCCTCTGATTCTGGTGGAGGTGAGCTGCTGGTTGGGGACTTCTTGGACCTCTTGAGTGATTTGGAAGACTGTCCATGCAGTGCCCGCAACCTCTCACAGGTTCTTGTTTTTGAGGATGTTCCGTTTCCTGTGTAATGTTTTGGAAAATATCCAACTCTTGCAGCCCTACTGTAGCATAGATTATATTGGAGTTGTAAAGACTACTCTCCGCTGTGGTTCCAGTGCTGCATATCTTTGCTTTGCAGGTGTTGTTGAGCATAATAAATGTGGATATTAGTCCTGTCTCTGATGCCACTGAGCTCTCTCTTGGTAACATGGTGCTGCCCAGGTAGATGGCCTGGTTTGCTTTCTACAATGTTTTTGCCTTCTGATGTTTCATAAGGCATTGGTGAGACCTCTGAAAGACTGCATACAATTCCAGTTAGTTGAAAGAGGAATTCGGACAGGAACAGGTATAGACAAGGGTTACTGGGATGCTTTGGGGAATAGAGAGTTTGGTTTGTTTAACCTAGCGAAACAAAGACAGATGCAGTGCGATGTGATTGTTATTTGTAAATACAGGAAGGAGGTAAACATCATGGCTGGGAAAGAAAACTGTTTAAAATAAAAGACAATGCTGGCACAAGAACAAATGGAGATTCATGTAGCTGTGAATAATTAGAAGGCTCATAACTATCAGGAGTGAGGTTTTGGAAAAGCCTCCCAATAGGAGAAGTGGGGGCAAGAAACCGGACTTGTTTTACGGTGGAGCATCAGTGTGTGGACGTGATTACATGGTGTGGTTCCCTGCAAAAGCAGGAGACTTCTAGACTCAGTGACCCAGGAGATGTTGTCCAGTCCTATGTTCCTGTGTCCACGTGCACATGCCAGGGTAACGTCTCCTGCTTCTACAGGAAGATTTAAAAACAAAACAACCATTGATGGAGGTATTCAACTGAAAAGAGCTTTGATTATTTTTTTTTTTGGCAGGGGGTGGGCAAACCTAAAATTTGGACCAAATCTGAACCAACTAATGCTTTTTCAAGAAACCTGTTTAGTTCCTTCCAGCCCTACTTCTCTACGATCTATGCCAGGCGCCCACAACGTTTTTGGGCAGTGCCAGAACCCCCCCCCCGTATGAATTATTCTGCAATTATTATACTTAAAATCATCAGGAAACTTTTCTTCTTTCATACTTTAATAATATTACTTCTATGCCAACAGGC